ACGCGCGAGCGCGCGATATTAAATATCGTCCGCGCGTGCCACAATATTTACGTTTAGTCTCGCGCAAAATATTTGCGCCGCCGTTGAATCCGCGCGGCGGCAGTATTACACGTATCGCATGATACGCGAAAACGACAACAACAATCTGCGCGGCGAAACGAGGCACCACGTTGTTGTAGCCTATACCGTCCGATCGACGTCAATGGTTCATCGAATGACTTTCCCCAGTGTCGGATGACAGAGCTTTTAGACTCCATCCATGAGTAAACCAATCCGATGACTGCGAACGTATTACTATTATATCCGCATCCCATCCCCCTCCTCCCTCCCCCACCTCCTTGCCACCCGCAATTCCCCATTTGTACGGTCTTGGGGTGTAACGGAAATGATTTAACGTTTTACCATGAAATATATATATATATATAATATATATACATATACAGACAGATATGCCATAAATTCACCGTGTTACTTAACAATATATTTATGCTGGACATCAACGCCATTTGCATGTTTTTTTAACGCAATTACTCGCACAGGATGTATTTTATACCTGAACGTTTTATTTATAATAACGCACTAAGAATATATTGGCTGCGTCATAATTAAGTGAAATGTAATCGAATTAGTCGTTAATTATTGAGCGCGATTACTGAGTAATTAGATCATAAAAATAATCAGGGCAAAATAATTATTATGTGATTCAATTATGAATCAGGAAGTGTGAAGATATATTCGATATAATTGTCTTACATTGACAAATAAATCGCACAACAATCATATGTGTGAGTATAATAAATGGTAAACTCACCGGCCGATGCGCTGCTGTTACATATCTTTTATGTTTATGGACACCGCATTGCTCCTTATTGTTCTTTCTCTGCAGACAATTATCCCCGCTATAAAACATTTTCATCACCCGCGTACTCGCGCACTGTGATATATTTCATTAACTCACTTGCCTTTTGCGAAGCTGCAACTTTATCAGTTTATTAGACCACTAATTCATTCGCGTTTCGCCCGATGTTTAATTCGGCACTCCCGACTCTCGTGTGTGTGCGCCAAATTTACTTTCAACGGATAAAAAGACGCGAGGATGCGGACGGGACAGAGTACGCGATCTAAACTAGATTTGAAAAGTATATCACGCGAACGCGATTATCTCAATATCTCGGGCAAACGGGGTTATCTGCTTCAATATCATCGTAGTGATTCCTCGATATCCGGCGATGTTCCTCGACGCTGGATGGCACGCGCGATGTTCATCGGATAAGCAAATAGCGCGAAATATGCACGAAAGACGCGTATCGGAAAATAAAGTCCCGCGACGGAACGCGATGAGTTTCGATATTCGGCCAGCCAGGTTATGTTGACTTACAAACGTAATCGAAAAACGCGTTTATCACGATTTTTCGGTTTAACAGACACATAGAGATGATCGTCCGTTCACTTCCGATACTTGTATTTGCACAAATTGCGTAAAAACACGCGAAAAACACGGAATGATCGCGATTTCAACCGCAATACACTCGGGAACACTTGGAGTAAAGTTCTGACGTTATGTGTGCACACCAAATTTCACGATATCACGAATATTTCAATATCTCAAACAAACGGCGTCGCCTATCTCGATGACTCCGTGATAGCAATTTTGTAGTGCTTCCGCAGATATTCCTTGATGCTCCTAATCTTGAATGACATCATGATACTCGTCCGATGAGCGAGTATGAAAAACGAAAGTTCAGCAAATGGAGTCGCGCTGTGGCACGCGAAACGATGAATTTCGACTCAATAGATAGATTATTTCAATGTCGTTTATGAATAAAAAAACGCGTTAATCACAGTCTCGCAGCTTAACAGACGCACTAAGACAATAGTTTAATGACGACAGTTCATTGTTGATACTTCCGACATTTGTTTGCATACGAAATACGGTTTTCGGTGGATAAAAAGATGCGAGAAACACGAAATGATCGATGGTAACGGAGACGCCCAACGCACCGTTCTGGCGCTGGTGTATGCCTAATTTCACGACAGATGTTTCTGTCTCAAGCGAGTTTCTATCTCACTCGTTTCAATGAATTCGATGCTTGATGAATCCCTTTCTGTTTTCGTCGAAGCTTCTCCATGCTTCTAATGTTAAAATAGCATTCGCGATAATTGTCCGTTGAGCAAATAATGCAAAGATACGTATCGGAAAACATAATTCCGTGACAAAACACAAAACGATGAGCTTTGATGCTGCTTACACAAACGTCGAAAAGGCATTAATCATGACCGCGACAAATTAATTAATATATTGAGACGATTGCCCGTCACTTAATTCGATGCTATTGATATTTGTTCGAACGTAAAATTCCCTTGAAACGATTAGGAATGCGCGAGACACAAAGAGCACATCTCGCCGCGCTGACCCAATATAACTGAGGCACACAGATTAGGCACAAAAAGGAGGGGGGGAGAACGCCCGTCATCTCGCAAAGCGTGTCCCTTCCAAGAAACGGAGTATACCCTTCGATGCAAACAGTAACAGAGCGACTTGTTCGATTTATAATCCTCAAACAAATATATTTTAAAAACACTTTTACGAATATTATTTCCAGCGAAACAACATCCACGAAATTTTCTTAAATAAATAAATAAATCTCTGAATTTTTTTTGCCTACTTTTACTTTTTTTTTTTCAAATATTAAATTAAGAGATCGTTCATTGGACATCGCTTCAATTATAATTTTTATCGAAATACATATTAAATAAAAATACTGGATGATGACATGCATATTTCCTTTTCTTACACAAAATAATAGAATAACAATTAATTTGGCGAACTTGAATGATTGAGGTACATTTTACACTCGTGCGAGTAACTGCCTCAATCCTGAATGTACATGTAGAGATTCGATGCTGTTTAATTTCATTATAAGATGAATATTTTACTGTTAAAGTAAAAAAAAAAAAAAAAAAGAAGGAGATAAACTTAGAATGATTTTCTTTCGAAGGTTTTTATATGGACTCTTATAAATAGGTGATAAATGAATTATGATTTTAAATAGATGACACGGAAAATCCATGGAAACGAGTCGCGAAAGTTATTTCGATCTTGTTTGAAGGAAGTAAATCTACCTGTGATGTTTCTCGAACTCGGAACTCTCACGAAGCCACGCGTATAGGCGAAGTCTGATCGTGTCCGTGATTGTATTCGAAGACGAATTAATTCGCTAATTGCGACTTCCCGGGAGGATAATCTCGCCTCATTAGATAATCCTGACATAGCTGCACTTCGGTTCTGCGCGCGCGAGGCTCAATAACGTCAAAGACCGTAATTGGCCGATTCCGCAGCCGGTTGAAATGGAGTTTGTATTCGTACAAGCTTGAACAGGAAACGTGAGATATTGAATGCCCCTATAGTCCTCCCTACGATCGCCCTAGATTTTCTACGACTTCATTTCGTTACCAATCGCCATCGATTTTTAATAAACATAGCCACGTGGATTTTGACTGCGTTTTTGATTGTAGAGAAATTCTACGAGCTTGTCGAATGTAATATTCGATACGTTCGAAGAAATTATTTATATTGTAGATGTTTCGCGATAATAATTGTAATTATAAAGAAACTCGTTAGCTCCGTCGAGACATCGTGCAGATCTCGACGAGATACATCCTCTTTTGCAATACGGGAAACAAAATGGTTAGTTACTTTCAGGATACAATTATACAATTATATGTATACGTATGCGCAACGCCGGCTTCGTAATCTTCGCTATTTATAATCTCAATGGCATTTCATCCCACTTCGCAAAAGCGCATTACAAATGATTTTTTGCTACTGGATCTTTTTCTAAATGGTGTAATTGTCGTTATTTAATTTTATTCATGACATTTTTTCGCCTTCTAAGAAATGGTAGATGACGCTTATAAAAATTGTCTATTAACCACTTATGTATAAAGTATAAAAAAGGATTTTGCATAATCATCCGTAGCCGTTGATAATGTCTATTTATTAATCCTTTCGACGATAAAGATGCGCGTATGCGTTTAGCTAGAAGTCGTAAAACTCTGAATGAACCCTTTGCGGTGCGACAAAGAAAACTTTAGGAAACGATCAATCAACGCATCACGTCGTTACTTTATGCTAATCTGCGCGAAAATAATAAACGCGCCGTAAATCGCGGAGCGTGTCTCATTTGCCGACAATTTCGAAAAGACAGCTCGACGTGCCGCGGCGGAAAGGTTAATAACAGTTAAAGTTCAACCGCGTTCTCGGCGAGTCCTGACCGTCAAAGTATCGATGCCCGGCAGAGTCGTAACGATGCGCGTGCTCACGCGTCTACGTGCGACAATTAAGTTCTCGACGTTGTTCGTGCAGCCTTTAATATCGCGCCGCGGCCCGATAATATCTGTAATCCGCGAGAAACGATTTCGACGCGTGGCAACCGGTACATCGGCGCATCGTGCTTCATAATTAGTTGAGAAGGCCGAGGAATGGCGAAATGGAGAGAACGCGATCATAATTGTCGCGCGCGCGTCCGCGGCCGGACACAATCAATTAAATGGCGCGCGCGTTCGCATCGCGAGATGGAACGGGCCTCTCCCTGTTCCTCTCGCCCCTCGTTATGAATCAACATTCCTTTTTTCCTTCGAATAATCTCTAATTGAGTGGTCCGCGTGTACATTGGGAGAGATAAATTTCGAAAAATCGACATTTCGCTCTGATAAACGCAAATTGCCCATCTCTGCACTTTGGGTTTATTAGTGTCAATATTAATTTTCCGAAATTTACTTTCTTCCCTTTTCTTTATCAAAAAATATAACAATATTTTAATAATAATAAAATTTTGAATAAAATAAAGCGATACGTTGCATCATTAAATAAAGTCGTACAGCAACTCTTATCTTCGCATCGCCATCGTATTTAAATTGTTAATGCGAATCTTTATTATTCGTTCGTGACGTAATCGAGATCGATACGTCGTGTAATTGGACGTAAATTAGAGGCCATTATGTTGTACGTCTTATCGCGCTTCCTCTAGATTTTTTTTTAGCATACACAATAATAATTGCTCTTCGATAACCGCCGTCGCGGCAACGCTTTTTAACCAACTTGCGCGGCACTCCTCTGTCTCGCCAAGTTTTAATGAAATGAAAGGAAAAACTCGGAGTAAAGTTGGGGCGCCATGTTACGTCACATGAACTAAAACTTATAAAACTTGCGGAGTCTTCATTCACTTGTCTTGTCTACTAACTTTGGGAAACGAGAGAATACGGCAGCGCGGTATTTACGCGATAGCTCCCATCTTCTTCCCGCCCAAAAAAGTTAATGTATAAAAAATAATGCGACACAATCCGAAATCGTCGTGTAAGCGTAAACGTAGAGTAAAAGAGATTTAAACAATCCCTCTTTTTTTTTTTGCTTTCTCTTTGCTTTCTTTCTCTCTTTCTCGTAAATGAAAACATACGCAAGAAACTATCTTGATAAAGGACAATCACATTACGGAAATTTTAATTAGAGAAAAACTGTTTCCGGGTTCCCGTGCCTTTTAAATGTGACAGGGATGAGCTAACTAAAAGAACATTACAGCTAATTTGAAAATTAATTAAATTAAGTACCGCTTTCGTAACAGGTTTGTCAAATGTAATATTCGATATTTTCGATATCAAAGGAAAATTCGATAAAACGTTAAATTATGTTGGAAAAACGCTTGACAAAAGGATATTGAAATAATACGTAATTAGCTCCTAGATTATTGATCGGTCGTTTTAACGAGAAGTTAAATTTACGAAATTATATGCACACACGGCTAAGATTGATTAAATAGCTATACGCGGAAATTACGGTAATCCTGTTACCACGCTGCGCACCGGTTTTAACTACACGGCTCGATATACATTCGATCAAATCGTTAAATCTTAAAAGATAACTTATTATTAAATAGAGAATCGAACAGTATTACCTGTTGCTGCATAGTTCCGCGCTGGCGCCCCGAAGCACTCGCATCTGAAAACCAAAAATAATTCATATATAAGTACGATGACAGCACTCGCTGTATTTTTACAATTCCAATTATTAAACAACGGCGAGCATTAATTAGCGTTTTCCCGTCTAGACGGACATCTTAAAAGATTGCATAACAAATGTTCTGTTATTTTTGCTTTCAGGTCATATCCGTCACCGGTGCAGAACGGAGGACCAAACGGCACGACGACGATGAGCTGCGCGAGTTCTCAAGGTGAGAACAGGACTCGTGGTTATCGTCGTGTTTCGCGGCACAAAAATTCGAAAACAATTCCACTAATTCAATGCGAACGCAATGTTCGCGCGCTGTATTTAATTACTACGACCGCCGGCTGGAATAAAGCCGTCCGCGCGACTCGCAATAAAAGCGGACTCGCGAGAGGAGCGGCATGCCGGCGCTCATTAATTAGCAGGGGGGAGGGCGGAGGGGGTCCGAAAAAATTTCCCGGGCAAAATTTTCTTCCGATTAAATTAGCGTTGCATTAAATTTATTGGCTGAATTCTCTTTTATAAACTGCGCGCGTTCGCGCTCGGCGAGCCGATCGTACGCAAGCCGCCACTACCGTTCTCTCGCTCGCGTGAACACTCGTAACGCGCGTGTACAGCAGCGGCTCTCGGTACGGTATATAATTTGCAAATATCAAACGTCGGCGGATATTTGAAAATATTGACTCTGGTATTTTAGCCGGGGCCGCGCGGCGGCCGGCGGTCTCTCGCGCACGGGAAAAAATTATCCGCCTCATGACGATTCAATATCGCGCGATTATCGCGGCAAAAGGTACCCGCAAGAGAGAGGAAGGGGGGGAGAGAGAGAGAGAGAGAGAGACCCGTGCGTGGATCAGATACAATATTAATTTTATATTTTTCGCTGCGCTGTGTGTGACAAACGCGCCGCGGAGGGAAGCGTATGCGCGCGCGTGCGACGAACGTGTGCGGTCGCCGCGACGCATATGTACGTATTACGATACGCGCGTGCATATATGCATGCTGCAAAAAGCTCGTCCCCGCGTTTATTCGCGATTGCGAGCAAGCCATTAAACAGATTCGCATGGAATTTCACAACGAAAAAGGATCGGCGCGCGCGCGCGCGTGCCCGGAAATTGCGCGGAACGCGCAATCGATGAAAAAGCTTCATTTCAACGCGAGCTTATTACGAAATTAATTTTCATTATAATGAAATTCTCGCAAGTACCACGCGCCTTTCTGTGTCGCAATCCTTTTGTGACGCGTGCTTGCCATGCACAATAGTACAGAAATCGTGAGCTGTTTTTTTTTCCCCCCGAAGTCTGCGTTAAATGGGAAGTATACGAGAATTGGATCTTTGGTTATCGAATACGAAGATTGTATTTTTCAGTCAACAATATGTGGAGCAAACCTTGCGAGCGGGTTTTACTTTAAAAAAATAGAAGTGCAATATAAGCAAGAAAATAGATAAAACTGTGATTTTACGTCGACAAAATATTCGCGCTTTGAACGACATAACTCAATATAATTGTGAGTTATGTGTTACATGCCGTTGTTCGTCTTTGCAGATTAATATCGCTATTAAATGTTAATTTTCGCCGCAAATCTCGTCACGGGACGACGAAACTGCGAGCGTGCATCGCACCGTAACAATCAGCGTTACGATGTAATTTCACGATCACCTGTGAAGGAAGGCCGAATCCGCGAGCGCGAAACCACGAGGAGGCGAACGACGTTTGTGTTCCATCGTGAGGCCGGGGTCGATACCGCCGGCAATTGGCGCAAAATTGTAAAAAAATATTTCCCGATAGAGCGAGACCGCGGCGTACACGGCATCGCCGCGGTGCGAGCGTGTGTGCGGCGGACGCACGACAATCGCGCCGAAATATACGCGCGCAAAATCCGAGGCCAATTACAAACACGCCGCGTCTCACCGGGCTGTCAGTCATCAATCCGCGGAATATTTTTCTCTGGGTCAATTGAACAATTCTACGCGTCGTCGGACAGCGCGACCCGCGTGTATCCGCGAGTGCGGGACCGGGTTTTAATGTGTATTTGCCGTTTACCCGGGGCTTTCAACGGCTAACCGGTAAATCTTCTGACGAGCGATTAACTCGTTTCTCTCTTGGTGCTTCTCAGCTATTAAATTACCATCGACGATACCGCCGGCAATAAAACTTGTTCGGGGTGATACTAAACAGAGCGAAAGGTTGCTTACGCGCGCGCGCGTGCACGCGCGCGGCCCGAACCCGTGGATTATACAATAATCTCTTAAATCACTTAAATGCCTCGTTTATTTTATTCCCCATCAAATTATCGGCGCTACTTCGAGCTTTACGACCGTCGTATATTATTCGATCGTTTGACGATGTCTTTAATATGACATTTCACTCTTTAATACCGACTGCTTCTCATAATTAATTACAAAACAGAATACTTATTTCTGCATTCGATAAATATTCACGCGTTCGTACGCCAAGAGATTCAGCGAAACTTGCGTTAACACGTAGTTAAATCAGTTCCGATGTAGAAGCAAAACTTTCTACGGCCAATGAAAAACGTTTAAAATGCTTTGGAAACTTTATTTGGAGCGTGTAAAAAGTTATTTCGCGCAATCTTTCCGCGAATTATTTTTTATCGCCGATACATGACGGTAAATTTCATCTCTGCAGGAAGCCGTAGGAGAAAGTTACAACTTCCTGAGCTTTCCCCCGATTTGAAAGCCGTAGAAAAGATAAATTCGATCACTCGAAAAAGTTTGCGAACAAATATCGAAAGTTCGGAAATGCAGTTTGATTCCGGTAAATCGTCCGCAACTATGTCTACCCCGTGTTTACCTGTAGCTGCCGGGATTAGAGTTGGACGGCACTCTCGATGAGTCACTCACGGAACAAGTATCGCGCAGTGCAAGATGAGACGAGATGAGTGACAGGAGTTCCTGCGCGAATTAATAGCACGATAATTCGAGCTAGTTAACGTGTACGTACACGAGAGGAAAATAGAAGAAACTTGGGGGGAGAATGATTAACGAGCGGTGTGCTACGGGAGTCCGACGTCTGCGTTGCGCCGGCGAGCTAAAATTAGGCGAAAGAAATGTCTTGTTTCTCAATTTATCACTATGCAAAACACAATATTGATATAAATAATATACGACGAAATTTGACGGATATTCTTCAGGAACGCTAATAAATAACTTCGCTCGCAAGGTTCACGACTTTCAACTTACTCCACATTTTTTTCCTCAACTCTTTATGAGACGAAGTCGGGACGGGGAAATTATTGTCGCGCGCGGCGTTTAGAGGGTTAATTTCCGCAATAATGCAGCACATTGTCGCGCGAAAATTTTTCGCTTTACGACGCCCGAGAAACTCGAGAAATAACTTGGCGCTATCGTGGGCGACGGTATGCGAGCGAGCGAGCGAGCGAGGATAAGCGCGCCGAAAATCTAAAGGGCGTCGGCCCTGTCCTTGTCTCTGTGCAGGGGTGATGGTGAAGCAAGAGGCGAGGGACGACGGTTACGAGACGAGTCCGGACCTCGAGATGAGGAGCACCGGCGGTGACAGCAGTCAGCAGTATCACACGCCGCTGACACCACACACGCCGCACACACCGCACACGCCGCACACGCCCCTCACGCCGATATCGGCGACAGCGCATCAACCCCAGCAGCCGGGCTCGACCGCCTCCACCCTCGGACAGGTGAGTTTTTCATATTCTGCCCTCCCGACTCCCATCCCCGATCGTTTCCCGTGCTCTTCTCCACCCTCAGTTTCACCCCCGAGCTATTTACGTATCCCGCAGCGACCGGTCCGCAGCGACCGGTCCGCAGCGACTAGCGATTTTATTACCGCGTTTGGTATCTTGAAAAAAAAGCCGGAATTACGAAGAAATTACCAGAAAGTACTGAAGGAGGATAAATCTTTCTTTAAACCGAGCTATAATGCTCCGACGAATATAACTGAAATGCTTTGAGTTGGCTGCAACGTTTAAATGTCGGGAATAATGCTATGTTTGCGGAATTGTTGCTGATATATGTGCATGTGATTGTTGTAATTATGCCACGAGATTGCGTGTAATAGCTGTGTGACGTATTCTCAATCGATCTTACGTCAGAATTTTGTCTAATTTGCGCTGCCCAATGATCTAAAATTAATATTCACGCATATTCGTATTCGGTAATTTATTTTGTGCCTGTAAGAAGAAAGCCAAACATTTATTAAGCGGCTAAATCTTCTGTAATAAATAAACGTTCATGTAATATGTATGTAGTAGTTGTAACAAACTTTGAGCGCGATTAAAATGTGTAGATCAAAGAAAGCCGTTCGTGCCAATCAAGTTACGAATATCGATATAAAAAATAGTGAGACTTCGCGATTGAGGGTCGAAGCGCGAGAATATGTATGCTTATTACAGTAAAACCTCTGCATTTTAATTTCTAATTTTCTATTTTTTTTCTCACTTTTATGTAACGTTTAATTGAAAAAAAAACCAAGTGAAAGATGATATATATTATACATGCATTTTAACATACACACCATACACAATTATAATATCTACTACATTACAATTTTCGTACAATTATAATCTTTTCGTTTTTCCTCGCTTTCTCTCTTGAACCATTTTCCAACATTTGTCTAACTATACGAGTTAACTACTTATATGAAAAAGTAAAAAACAAAAGATATCATACAACGCACTATTGATTCGTTACCATAGAAATCACGTTAATTTCTTGTCAGATATTATCTATTAATATTAAAATTTATTGCATAATAATTTGTGGATTTCACTCGTTTTCTCTAATGTTGTCACGGTGGTTAGAGAGATGTGTGAAGAATAGTGATAAGACAGCGCAACAGGGGAAATAAAGAAAGAAATGGAAAATCAGAAGAAAAAACATGGAAATTTGATTGTATGTACAGAAAGAAAAAACGTCGCGCGTAAAACGTCAAAATTATTAGGTAATAAAAAGCACAGGCAGTTCTCATTAGGAACCACCGTATCGGCATATCTAGCACCTCGCAATCAAACTTATGAGCAATAAATTGTAATAAAGACGCGCGCAATCACCACGGAGTTTTCGCAACGCCGTGTACGACGATTTGCATTTTCATGTTAGTTTTACGATCTACTTACGCAACATTACTTCTGTCGCGGTGCAATGAAAGTCGCGGTGTTACTTATTTTTTGCTTTACGCACGGATTATCTCTAAACACGCGGTGTTTCTACGGCCACTTATGTCTTGTGTAATTTTAATTGGTGCGATTCAGAATTTTTGTGCAAAATATGTAAAAAGCTCGTATAAAAGAGGTAAAAACAGCAATTCCATAATATTAATATTACGCGTGATTCGATGAAAAAAGCTTTTCTTTTTAACCGTTACATTGATAACCGGATTCGTAATAAAAAGAAAATAATATATAAATTGAAATTTTTTTAGCGAGTATAATAGCGAGTACAATAATTGTGTGTGATATTTATTTATATTTGCAACATGAAGAAGAATAAAATAGTCTATGTGTAACGAAACAGTTATAAAGAGAGGAAACTATTGCATCTTTCAAACGGCGTCCGGCTTTTTCACTTTACAACAACTGGCGAAATAAAAGCTTTTGCGTGCGCGATTCGGATGAATATTTTGACGGCGGTAATTTTCAGCGACTTCAATCAGAACGCGCATTTTCCGCTCATGAATTAATTGCAGGTTGCGTAGCTCTCCAATCTGGCTATCGGCGCTATCGCGCGCGAATTACAGAAATTTCATCCGATATTAAATTGCCATTATCCGCAAAGTTGTTATCCGCTGTCAGGATCGATAGTCTTTTTCTCGAAAATTATCTCGTGACGTGACGACCGACCCGGTCGATCGCGATTTCGCCGGCTCCTCATTTTAACGAACGAACAGCCGACGAGCGGAGCGAATTTCCGTTGATCGAATTGTTAACCGTGAACACGTCCCGGATTTATCGAGCTCGCGTCCCTCCCCGCCGACTACATTATCGCGTTTCTCTTTTCTCGAGATCCCGCGCGCTTCACATTATTTTACTTAACCCTTCTCTAGATCCCGACGTCCGATTGTTTCTACGTAAACGAGCCGGCCGTTTAAGTTACGGATGACTTTTTTTTTCCTCTCGAGATAATTGAAGGGATGAATGGCTGAAAGAGATACGCCACTCTCGCGAAAATTGTGTAATCCTCATAGATAAATTACACCGAACTCCGCGGAGAAAAATCAATAATCAAAATATTCCTGTTGTTTTAGCTTTATCGAGCATGAAGATTGCCACCTTGATCAATAAAGTGTGTGTGAAATTTCCAATCTACTTATATTTAATCGATTTCTTCAGAATGTAATTTAATCGTTACGCTTCTGTATCAAATAAAGAAAACATTGTGTACAGAAAAAATATATGAAAAAAAGAGGCAAAGTAACAAACAGCTTATAGCGAAACGTTATTATCTCAGTAATGGATATTTTCGAGACATATAGATTAATGGCTCTTGAAATCGATAAACAAGCGTTTCTTTGCGCAACCAACGGCTCGCAATAAAGATTTTCTATTTACCTGTTTATAACGCAAATATTGTACTCTAATATCGCCGGATAAAACAAATCGTTCCTCCGCGACTGCGCTGCATCCGCACGATACTCACTGCGGTCTTTTTGCTTGCAAATAATAACAATAACGGTGCATGCGCGTACGTTCTTATCGCGCGCAATATTGTCGGCGACCTTCGAGTGAAGCTGGGAGCCCTGTGAAAAAGGACGAGTGGTAGGGACAACGCGTTATCGGTAAACTACCAGTCAGTGGCTCTTATCTTTTGCGGGATTTCGACCTCGATTTCACGGGGTTATCACGGGGTCAAGAGCGCGGGCCTCTCCGCCTGGAAAGAGCATAGTCGGAGAGGGCCGGGTCGAAAACTGCAAACGAGAGAATGTTTATGTCGCGATAAAAAATCCTCGGCAACCCGCGCTCACCGTCAGATTCACGTTATCTCTTATTCCGACATTTTCGCGGGCGCCGAAAAAGCGGCGCGAGGCTCTTTCGCTGATGTACATTACCTTCGTCGCAAAACCGTCTCGCCTTTCTTGAGCGAATTTTCGAAAACAAATTCGGTAAATAGACGCGTCTCACGCGATATATTTCGTATTGCTGAATTCAACGGACGATTTTGAGATTGATTTAAAATTAAGAGTGCTGAATATGCGAATGTGTCGATATGCCAAATTATCGCATTATTGACAGCCTTCAGAATGCAATAACGGTCTGTTCAATAATTTCTGATTTCATCAGGCATTTATTTTAGCCCGCGATATTGAATTTTTGAGCGAAAGACACAGAAGAGTCAGGAAAATGTCACTCAGATACCCGTCGGTGTTGATTATCTAATACAGTCTCGCTAATATCGTCGGAAGGAGTTTCGATATAAAATCGATATAAAGAAATTTCCGAATAATTTGACACATTAAACTTTCGCATCGTGTGTCACAATCGGTAACGTGTCTCGCATTCCATTAGATGTCCGATTCTTTCTAGCTTGTCAAAAGAGCATTGCTCTTTAAAAGCAATTAGCTTATGAAGCCCGACTGTTATGATTTCTCGTTAGCGCTACACGCAAAAGGGGGACGGGGGGGTATCGCTCAGACCTCTGTTGATTTTGGCTAATGTAAAACGCGGACGAATGCGAAAAGTGCAACAGGAGAAGAACGGTGGTCGCGTCACCCCGTGCAATTTGCAAAAAAGAGACACAGCTGTGCATTTTACAACCGCGTACGGCTGATACGTTGTACGTGGCCGCGTATTTTCGGTCCGTGCGGCAATTGCGCTATTACTATTTTCCCCCAAGGCATCGTCACGCGTACATACAGTGCCGGTCGGGATACATACGTTTTATGATCGCCACTGTACGTGTCCCGTGATCGTCGGTGCATGTTTTACGTCGGGATTGTACGTGCCGAGGTGAAATTTAATTTTTCCACAACCGGCCGCGGCGGAAACCTGCGAACGCGACGAAAAATTCCGCGGTATAATTCCCGAGGTGGAATTGAATTAGACCGGGGACACATCAGCCGTCATCGCGATTCGAGATATCACGTGGCAATTCGCACCGCGAGCGGTGCGCCAACATTTTCCTTTCCTTCGCCTGCATGTATTATTCAAACGCGAGAAATTCGGTCAGTAAATACGGTAATGCGTCTGCCCTTAAACGACGCACGGGAATTTATCGCGAAACATTCGCCAAATTGCATCCTCACGTATAACCTTTTATTATAGATTACGTCGCGCGAATTTCAGTTCCGCAAAAGTATTGTTTGACTACGAACAGGGAAAATGAGGGAATAAAAACAGTCATAATATCGAACAGTTTCTCTAGTTTTCCTATCTCTCCTTTCCTTATCCCTACACACACACACACCCACACACCACCCACCACCCACCACACACACACACACACACACACACACACACAACAAACGCGTTCTTCCTACACGATAACATTCCGATGCGAGAATTCCGAACTTCTTGCGTCATTCCGGCGAGTATGACAGCGTCGAAAGTGATAAAGTGATAACCACGATCTCTCAACGTTCGCCCGTTCGCTCTTTTCCAGGTCGCGATAAAATGCGAGACGCCGGTGGACCCGTACTCGTTCGTGGACGAGGAGATGTCGATGGGCGGCATGAGGACGGCGAGCAGTCCAGGCGGCGGCGGCGGCAATCCCGAGAACATGACGTGTCCGGGCGGTGCCCAACCTGGGCTGGGTACACCCACGTCGACGCCGCCCGGGGCGCTGCCCGGGCCGCAACATCATCAGATGAATCTCGTGATGAACGGCGCCGCGAGCGTCAATCCCCAGCTGGCGCATCAGCCGAAGAAGCGAGGCCGCAAAAAAAAGTCGGAGATGATACTCACCCCCGAGGAGTAAGAGTCGCATATATAATCAATTACCGGCGTGGCGCCTGAATGCGCCGGAAAATCTCCATTACCGCGAGCCGAGAACTCTAATTTCATAATTCGAAGTGCAGCCTGATATCTCGCATCTTTTTGCGAAAATTATATACATATTGCATATTTTTTTCTAACTTGATGCCCAAAAACAACTGTAATTAAAGGAATCGAAGGAATTATTTCCAAGCCCATTGCGAGATATCGGAGTTTGCGAAACGACGCGATCAAAGTTAATTTACCGCCTTAAAATCGCTTTCATATTTGGAATAGCATTCTGTATCTTTAATTCGGAATTTGCTGTTTACGTTGGAGATTGTTATTATTGTTATTATTACTGTTAACAAATACGCTAATAATCCCAAAGAGAAACGAAGCTGAAAAAGATCATGGGACCGGCCATGAGGCCGCGACTCGATATAACCGGAGTTAGTTATATATTTGCATGCAGCTACGGTTAAAAATACCCGCTCCGCTAACAATGTCCGTCTGACCGGGCATCATGTTGTTGATCCGATAGAATCTTCAGTTACGCTTATTTTTGTGAAGCCAGCCGAAAACTTAAAAATAGTTCCGCATATTAGGAACGTAACACGATCAGCGATTCGCGCCGCCGTTACGGAGATACGTCACGAGATATCGGACTCGTTAAAACGCTAATTCAAGACGTTGAAAGGGTATTGCCCGCCTTTCTGACGCATCTTATATCGGTGTATGTGTGTGTGGGTGTGTCCGTTTATTAAATATACAGATTCAACAAGGGCCACTATACGGCTGATATATCAATTTTAATTTCTCCGTCAGTATTTTTCTTTATAAAACTGCACCGCTCGTGTGATATTTACGGGGAGAGCAGTGTGCACAAATACGTTATTTAATGCAGCCAATCTACGTTTCGTTGCCGAAGAATTGCATTAATTTTTGCGACTCGTCACAATAACTAAATTCGCACTAAAATATGCTTTCAGTATCCATCGCGTTTCAAAGATTGGCTTTGTGCTATTTCATTATTTCTCGTTTAGAAAGACGCGAGAAGCGCAAGTTGCATTTACAGTCACGTCTTATCTCGCGAGATCCGAACTTATTCATCCGTGTATTATTTGCGCGTATTCACGACGGCGCGACTTACAACGCCCCTGTCCGATACAAAACGTAACATTGTGTCACAGTATCACGAACCGAGACGCAATGTCCAAGAGTCCGCGCGGCAAAAAGCGCGACGCGGAAAGTCCGCGTCCCCTGCCGATCGGGAGAAATAGTTGCGCGCCTTTCGCTGAATCGTATGACGCGGCATAAAGAAATCCAGCGTATTATTAAGGGCGTCTGTGTCGCCTCTTCTTTTTCTTCCAGAGCTGAGCTCGCGGAGGCCAAGAAACGCGCTAAGACGTACAAAGAGAGGAAGAAGCACGACAGGTTCGATGGTATGCCGGAAGAGGAAGTGAGCAAGCGTGTCCTGCCGGATCATCTCACCAATAACCTTGACATTATTATAGTAAGTCTTATGTTTCTTATGTGTATGTGTGTAGATATTCGCATATATGCGACGTACCTGTGTTAGCCGCGAGTAAATAAGACATCAAGTTGATCTTGGTTGTATTTTCGCTCACTTATCATAAATCAACATTGCGTCATCGCATCGACTCGTGTAAACTTCCCGGACGCTTTATATACGGTATAAGCGCGGCTAATAAGTTTGCGTTAAAGATACTTTAGATAGACAGCGATAATCATATGCGCGGAATGCACGCGATAGAGCGCTCAAAACAGATCATCCGGTGTCGATAAATTAAATTATCTGAAGTCGCCGCGGAGTGCACTACACCATAAATAAACGAGATTTACTCGCTCGATCGACTCGCGCGTAGGCGACATTTCAATTCCGCGGCTCTCCACTCGCTGAATGGTACGATAATTCATTAATCGCGTCGCAACACTAACAACAACAATAAAAACATCAATTTCATCGGCGCACACATCTCCGCTGGCTGGCGCGCCGTATATGCGCGTGCGGCGCGTAATTTATAGCCCGGTGTATCGCGGCCGTGCGTGTCATTTGTAATGCCGCATTACCAATGCGCCGGCGATGTCGTTCTTGATCGAATGACGGCAATTAATCGGACACGCGCGTGCGGCGCAACGGGACGCGGCGCCGGCTCGGCTTCGGCCGGCGAGAGAATCCATCTTGGAGTCACCGCCGCGCGAAAATCCGCGGATTCTCTGCACGCGGCAACGACAAATGGCAGTCACCGCCTCCGCAGCAGCCGGCCTAATCGCTTTAATGATCCATACGCGATTCGGTTATCACGCGAAACGCCGGTCGTTGCGTTACGTGAGACGAGAAAACGAGAAAACGAGAGAGAGAGAGAAAGAGAGAGAGAGAGAGAGAGAGAGAGAGAGAGAGAGAGAGAGAGAGAGAGAGAGAGAGAGAGAGAGAGAGAGAGAGAGAGAGAGAGAGAGAGAGAAAGGAAAAACTAGTCGACCATGTGGACCAGTTTCGTCGACGTTCCGTTAACTTAAACCTTAATTGACTCCTCGTCTTTTTGCACAAGTAGAACTCGGAAGAAGACTGGAACTAATTAGAGATTAAACTTAATCGACATTACTGAAGCTAACAACGAGTTAACTGTTGAGGATCTAACGACACAAATGCAAAAAATATTTTTCGGGAATGAAATTGGGCGGGAATCACGTTAAACGAAAAATATCGCCGGGATAAATAATGAGTCGAAATGTCCGTCAATCAGCCGGAGACTTGTGCAGTACATAAAGAGTCGACACTGACATCGGCTGGAATCCGAAAACAATTTCGTCCGTTTCTGTCGTACGTGCATGACATTTTCGTCACCGCGCGTTAGCATGATCTTTATTGAATGCAAGCGAGAGAATGGGAATTACGTTCTCGTTACAAACGCGACGACCCGCCGTGCGTTGATCGATCACCCGATACCGGTGTAAACGGGTATAAACAGTTTAACGGGTGAGCATCACGGTCATTACGAGTGATTGTTATAATCCGATATGCGGCCGTCGTTATCAAAATTGGGGTGACTTAAATGACGGAACCGAGAGGCTTGTGACGATTTCGGTGTTTTAATCGCGTGAAAATAATCCCGCGAAATTTGATTCATGTCCCACCTCGGTTCGCTTTAAGATAATGCGATTATCTTATTTTCGGCAACGCGCGCGCGCGCGCGCGCCAATTGTGTCGTGTCAATGCTGATCAAATGCGCATTGTTGAGATAATTCATCAATTAATTTAACGCGCAAACGAAATTTTCATAATGAAGAACGTATCTACGTGTCACGTCACACGCGAGCAAGTTCTAATATTATAAAATCGAGCGGGTGGGTTCGAAATGTCCCTAGAACGCGCTGCGGATTTCTCGCGCCGACTCGACTTTGTCACGGGCGCGCGCGAATTCAGCGTGCACATCAATCTGGCGCGCGGAAAATCGCTCCCACTTTCTTCCCGCCGCGAGAAAGTCTCGGTCTCGCGCCGCGCGTTATTTATCGCGAAATAAGGCACGAACGCCGTCGGCCATATTCATCGGAGGGAAGTCTGTTAACGCGCGCTTCCACGGTCCATATTCATATATTACCCGAAACGAGTTGTCACCGTGGTCGATCATCCGTCAAGCGGTGTAAACGCTTTAACGGGCCGTGGGCAATTCGGTTATTACGCCCGACGTTGTAATCGAACGCAGCGGGACACTGTTCGCTGCTCCCCATAGAATGCACCCCCTGATGCACCCCCGGCGCGTCCAGGCACTTCCTCTCCCCTGCTCTGCTTGCTCACTCGCCCCCCGCAATTCTGTCCGTCCGCGCTTCCC